GTGTGGTTGGGTGTGGCGGCTGCCAGCCACTCTCCCTGTTGTGACCCAAGGATACTTCCTGAGTACGCTGTGGAGTGCTGCTTCCTCTCTCTGCAGCATAAACTGCAATACGGGGGCTGGAGGAGCTCACCACAGCCCATCTGGGGTGCAGAAGCACAGGGCCTGGCTCGTGGTGGGGATGAGTTCAGAAGTGCAGTTTGCTGGCGTGGCTGTCAGCAGTCTCCTTCTCCTTTCCCGAGGCTCACATCACTGTTCTTGCTGTCCGGCTGGATCCACCTCCCAGCTGGCTTTTGCCATTTCTGTTCTTCATCCTCTCCACTGATTACTACCAAATGCCGGCAGCCTGCCCAGCTTCGTGCTGCACTCACAACTCCCTGTCTCCCTGGGGATCCCTCACTTCCCCTCAGGCAAGCTCTTGATGCTGGACTGCATCTTTGCATTCAAGCCTCTTCCTGACAGCTGCCTCCTCCCTCCTGCTGTGCCACTGTCTCCCCCAAACCCTTGTGGTCACCACTGTCACCTCCTTGCCCTGCCTGACCCAGCAGCAGGGAAGCAATGCTGACCACGCAGTGGGCATGGCTGGTGGTGCTGCAGCTTTGCAGTCTCAGCCTGCAGAGTTGTAAACTCTGCAGCCAAGCTTTTGCTCTGCTGAAGTACTCCAGGCCCATCCTGCATGGTCCCTTGGCACAGGGCTCCCAGGATAACAGAGCCCAGAAGGCTGTTGGCTTTTTCTGCTCTCTAACTGCTGCTCCTGCTGACCAGCTCATCTGCATGCTGCCTTCACAGGTTTTTCACTGCCACTTTAACAGCAACTTCTTCCCTCTCTTCCTGGAGCACCTGCTGTCAGGCCAGATCTCTGTCTCTACAGGATCATTCCTTCTTGGTGAGTCTCAGGTGGGACTGGAGGGAGCAGCCAGGGTAGGACCTGGCTTGAGCCTGGGTTTGTTCTTCCCAAACTCCATCTGGGGAGAAGTGTCCTCGCATGCACATCTCTGGGCTGTAAGATTCACACGTGCACATGCCCCGCATGCTTCCCTGAGGCCTCTTGAGTTGTCCTTCATGGGCACAGAAGTAACCTGGAACCATTTCTAGTGATGAGGAGTCCAGTGTGCTGGACTCTTGCCAAATATCCACAAAAGAGGTGTTCTGAGCATTAGTGGCTGCAGAGGGTGTCCCCAGGATGCAGCAGGGAACACAGCCCTGAATCTAGTCCCTTTCCCTCTGTGGCATATGGACCGTTTCCAGGCTGCCACAGATGTGTGGGCAATGGTCTTAGAGTTACCATGGGAGGGTTCTGTGTGGGTCAGGACTGGTCACAGTGTCCTGTCCCTCATTTCCGCTCCCAGCCCCTGCATGACACTGAGCAAGTCTTTTCTTCCTTCTTGCCCTGGAGGTTGCTGGAAGAAGGCTTCTCTCTGTAGGAAGTGTGTGTGCTATGCCGCAGAGCCACCGGGTGGATCTGCTGGAGCCCTCTGTATGCGCCTGGGGGCTATTCTGTACCATGTGTCCTACAGCTCTGCCGGGGGCAGCAGCGTTGTTCTCTTTCAGTATCAGTCCTAGGGGCATAGTGGATACTGAAACTCCCTCAAGCTATTTGTGCCTCTGTCTCTGCTCAGGTGTTTCCTACATTGCCCCCCATCTCAACAACCTCTACTTCCTGTCCCTCTGCCGCCGCTATGGGGTTTATGCTGTGGTGCGAGGACTCTTCTTCCTGAAGCTGGGTCTCAGCATTGCCATGCTCCTGGCAGGACCGGATCAGGTGTATCTGCTCTGCATCTTCATTGCCAGGTAGGTGGTACTCCTTTTCCCTGCCCTCTGCCACCTGGGGTGGGCAATGACTTGTCCCTGTCCTGGGGAGAGGAGTGGGAGGCAGGGAACTGTAGCCAGGGTCACACAGAAGCCACGTGGCTCCCAGCTCTGATAGCACCTGAGCTTGGGACAGTCACTGCAGAACCCTCACACCCCCACCATGCCTGCAGCAGAGCGAGGGAGGACAGAGACCCGGCAGGGGTGGGGGCAGCCTGCAGCAGCCTCTCCTAGCTGCTGAGCTGAGCTCCTCTCCTCTGCAGCCTCCCTGTGGTGATAACCCTCAGCTTGTGCCCAGAGTGTCCCATCCCCAGGCCTGTTGGTGTGGCAGGTCAGGACTGATCCAGGGCATCGCTGCAGGGTACACAAGGCTTATTGCTAGCAGTGTTCCCCTCTAACCAGGGCTTCTGAAAGTCTTAAGTGTGGGAGAACCTTTCTCATCCTCTTCCTGTTTTCTCTGATCTCTCACCTGCTCCCATCATTTCTTGATGTCCCTATTCAGTGCTTTGCCTGTTGTTCTGCAGCAACCGGGTGTTCACAGAAGGGACCTGTAAGTTGCTTAACCTGGTGGTCACTGACTTGGTGGATGAGGATCTAGTCTTGAACCGCAGGAAGCAGGCAGCCTCTGCACTGCTCTTTGGGATGGTGGCTCTGGTCACCAAGCCTGGCCAGACCTTCGCCCCTCTGATCGGCACGTGGCTGCTCTGTGCATACACAGGTAAGGGTGCTCCCAGGGAAAGCAGCGGGGTAGGAGAGGGCAGACCTGTGAGTTCAGTGTCCTCCACTATGTCCTGTGTGGGTGCAGAGGGCTGTGCCAGGTCTCTGCATCGACAAGGCCGGTCACTTGGGGTGACAAAGGTCCATCCCCACTGTTCCCAGTCTCACAGACTCTTCTCTGACACCAGGTTATGACATCTTCCAGCGCAACCCCTTGAGCCACATGGTGAGTGCCCAGCCAAAGCTGGAGTCTCCTGCATTCCTGGAGCCAACGCTTCGCCAGGGCTGTTTTTACCTCCTTGTCTTCGTACCCATTACATGTGCACTGCTGCAGCTCCTCAGCTGGTCTCAGTTCAATTTGCATGGGAAGCGTCTGCAGATGGTGAAGGCTCAGCGCCAGAACCTGACCCAAGGCCAAGCACCAGAAGTCAAAACTATCTAGGGGTGCCCAACCCCCTAGGGGTGTGCCTGTGTGCAGGCTCATGGGCTGAGACGGCACAATGTTTACAGCTCAACTGTGAAATGCTGTAATGCCAATGTTTATCCATTCCAAGAGGTGGCCACTGGGGAGGGCAGAGAAGTTCAGCATGAGGGGCCTGGGGTAGATCGCCTGGCGACAGGAACAAGAGCATTTTATCCTGACCTGTCCCAGGGAGCACTGGGGAGGTGCTGGGTTGCAGCGTGTGCTGGAGACAGACACATCGCTGGTGCAATCCTGTGCCCTGGGCATGGTCTTGGGGAACTGCAGCCTCTGGCTGAGCGAGAGACAACTGGACAGGGAGTCCTTCCTTGCTCTAGAGCCCTACAGCTTGGGGGAGTGGAGCACGAGGCTCCTGAGGGACCAAGGAACTGATGGGGTGACAGCAGGAGCAGGGATGAGAGGACCCTGAATGCCTTTCCCAGTAGATGCTACACCCCCTCCCACATACAGTACTGCGGTTCTTGGACCAAATCCACTAAGGCATTTCTTGTTCCCAGGACAATATCCTGCACAGCCAGGGTCTGCCAGCTGTGCTTGTTTTATGCTGAGTTCTGTCCTTCATAGCCTTGCAGAGAGAGTTGTTGCAGGCTGGGAAAGGCTCTGGGATGGAACTTCGCTTGGAGCCTTGAGCTGGAACATGACATTTGGCATCCTGCTGCCTGTGTTTATCCCTCCTCTCCCCTTTACAGCCCTGGCTTAGCACAGTGTCACACAGCTGAGAGCCTCCTCCCACTCTGGTAGGGGCTGTGGGACTGAGGTCAGGGAACCAACCCCTAACTCAGCCATGGAAGTGCCTCCCTGCCCAGGGCCCTCCCAGGTGACAGGCAGCCTGGCACCTTCCCCTCTTGTGCAGGGGGAGAGCACAGCCTGGAGGAGATACCAGGTCTTGCTTTTGTGCCTTCAATTCCTCTTTGGAACCTTTCTGAGAACACTGGGCTGGCACAGGGCTGAGATTTTACCCCTGTGGGGAGAGACAAGACATCTCAGCTTCTCTCCACTTGAAATGGTGTCCCAGAGTGTGACCAGATCCATGGCTGACCAGCCATGGGCCCAAGAAGAGCAGTTGGTTTTGGCTGGGAGCAGATAGATAGTCACCAAAGGGAGCCCTGAGGTTAGTGTCTCCCCAGTCCCTGCATTGCATTTAAGGGTAGGTATAAGTGATGTGCCAAACCAGAGCTCTACCCCGTGCATGCCTGCAGCAGGAGAGGTGTGCAGGCAGCGTTTTTAAGTGTATGCATAGGGATGTGCTGATGTTTAGTGCCAGGTTCCCTCTGGGGTCACCCACAAACCTGCCATCCTGCCTCAGGACATGGCTGCCTTCTGTTTTCCTGCTGTGAGGCTTCTGTAGCTCTTGGTGTTTCGATCATAAGTTATGTGCAACTTATCACAAGGTTTGAGAATGATTCTTCATTTCATAAATTAAAGATGATCTTTTCTGTACTGCTTGGTGTTTTTTTCCCAGGGGGTGGATGTCACCTGGCTGTGGTTGTGTGGGAGAAGAGAGGCATAACTGTACCAGCCCTTGACCTCTCCATACTGGCAAACTGAGATCTTGGGGATAATGGTTGCTGGGGAATAGAGCAGCTTTGGACACCACCAGTGCACACCACAGCTGCAACCCAGGAACCTCCTCCCCTCAGACCAAAAGCCAGGCCAGGAATGCGATCCCAAACAAGAGATAGTGGCTTTTGGCTGAGATCAGCCAGCATCAAACCTGCAGTCAAGAGAACACAAGTTAACTCCTTAAAACTGCAATTGTGGGAAGATGAGGCCAGGAAGCTTGAGGGTTGTATATGAACGACTTTATTTAAGTATGCTGGGCACCACCAGGCAACATGGTTTGGACAGTGTGCGAGGGAACAGTCAGGCAGATCAAATGAATGCTGGATCAGAGACGGCACCTTTCTGTCCGGTCACTGCAGGTTACAAGTGGAGCACTGCTGCTTCTGCAAGGCCAGCAGCAGGGCAGGGAGCAGATCACTGGCACTGCCTGGGACATGCTGACTGAACCGAGGTGGGGGAGCTGCTTCTCCTCCACATGCTGCAGCAAACCAGCAAGAGGAACTGATTTTCCAGCAGAAGGCTGAGCATTGATGGTTCTTTTCTACCTGACGGGTTCTTGCTTAAAGCAGTCTGCTCTGAGGGGTAAGTGAACAAGCAGCTTGGCCTCAGCTGGGAGGAGACCACCACTCCTGCCTGCCTACAGCCTTTGGAGCCCAGTGGTAGGCCCTGGGACCGTGGTTCCCACAGGGGGAACATGCTGCTGCTCACATTCACCTGGGCTGTGGCAAGGCAGCAGCTCTCCAGCTCCTACCCCAGCTCTGAGCCTGAGAGCGAGTGACCCCATGGCAATGAACAGGATGGAAGGGAACAGGGAGGAACGGCCACTGAGCAAGTCCAGTTCCACTGCTACTGCCACGTACTGCAGAAAAGTAACAACAGAAAGAAAAGAGCACCAAATAATGCAGAAGACAAACCTGAAGCGGAAGTAGTGGCACACCCCAATGCAAGCAGGGCTCTAGCCCTGCCCTTGGCTGTAGAGCAGTAGAAGCAAAGCAGCCACCAGCTGAGCAAAGGCACACAGCCAGCATGACAGTGTCCTGCTCACAAACCTGCTGTTCACACCAACGTCCTGGTAGGGTTTATTGTCCTCTCCTTCAGCGCACTCATAGAGAACAGTGGTTACCGGGTGGCATCGCGGGGCTGGCTGCTCCACTAAGCACATGTGCTGTACACAGCATTAACATTGAGCAAGGGACAGCTGGCATCAGGTGTTCAAAGAAGACCCAAAGCGTAATTCCCAGGTGCTGTGGTCAGTTATTTGAGATATCCTCAGACATTTCAATAAATAAAACAATTTTTACATTACAATGCACCTTTCCAATTACTGTTTTTGCCCCAGAATGGATGAAGTACAGAAGAGTTATGCCTGGCTGTGAATACATGCTCCCTTTGCCCTGACGTGGCAGGAAGGAGGGAAACAGCCGCGACTCTTACAAAGAACACGACAACTCAGCACTGTAAATCTTGGCAGGTTGAGGGGGAACACACAAGTGCCTTCACCCCCATTCTGGGGCACTTGCTTCCAGAGAAGTAAAGGTACTTAAAACAAGGTACGAGAGAATAACCGTCTAGTACAATGACAGCTGATTAGGTTTGCTTTGTTCTACTCCATGCAATACAAACTAAGTCCTATCACCAACTTCTCCAGCTGCAGTGCAGACCCACACATCAGGCTAAGAAGTTACACAGGCATACACGCACTCACACACCCAAAACAGTGGGGGCAAATGGGCTTAACTGTTGAGAATGTGCTTTCTCTTAATTAAAACAAAACAAAAAAAATATATATATATATTAAAACCAACTTCGAAAACCTACTGATGGTGAAGCCGCTGCTGAAGAAGGAAGTAGCTATGGGGCCTTGGCTGTGTTTCCAGACAATCCAGGCATTGCAGTCGGGCTGACTAAAGCAGTGGTTGGCTCCCTTCTTGTCTGGCTTGCCAGGCAGTTTCTATAAACTGTTCCCTTTGTTTTCGCTTGCTTCTTTGTTTGTTTTACAGTGACAAATGTGATTGCGATACAGAAATTAAGGGACTGAAGTGAAAAAGGAATGGGCCATTCTGGAGAAATGCAGATTGGTATTTTCCCCTTTCCAATAATAAAAAAAACAACCAAAACAAAACAACAAAAACCAACAAAAAAAATAAAAAAAAATAAGAAGTTAGTAGTTCTAATACAACCCTCCTGCTGCTGTTGTCTTTGCTCAGTGACATCGGGGCATGCTGGCGCACACACACACACACAGGCAGCTCTCAGACACTCGGACTCAGAAAAGCGAGTTTAGAACTGAAGTGAGTCTTCGGAGGAGACTGAGGACAGGTCCCAGGGCTAGAAGGTTTTTCGGTGGATGGCACGAGCTCCGTCTTCTTCATATTCCTTTTTCGAAACCCACATTTTCTTAAAGGTGTCCAGTGAGGCCAGGATAGAGCCACTGGGGAGAGACAGCATGGGTTAAAGGACAACGCTGGGGGCACTCTCATCGTGTCTCTGCAGAGATAAGCTGTTTCTATTGCACGATGCTTCCCCAAATCAGAAAGCTGCTGAGGCTCCCAGTTATCTACAACTGAAACTCTCTGGACAGTCACTTCCTCTCCTGTCAGCATCAGATGTGCCAGCACTAGAGCCTGGCACAAGCTGCCCCTCCCAAAGGACCTGCTGGTTGCTGACCATCGCATGGCTGAATGACAAACCCTCCTGACACAGAAGGGACAACAGTGTGCGTGTGTCAGGTTGCGCTTCCCCACACCCCATCCCACACCCAGGCGTGTCACTGTGCAGTACGTACCCAATCCACGTGGAATACAATCTCTCCTGAGGAGCTGATATCTGGGAGAAAGAGAGAATCGGTCAGTACCTTCCCAAGCTCCAGTCTGCTCCTCCTGGCACACTGCCCCCATTCCACTATGGCTAACAGCTGACAAACACGGGTATGATCTCTTCCACCGATGGCACCCAACAGCACCCCCCCAAACAGCCACTGTGATCCAGGATCCTAGACAGGGGTCATGCTGTCAGAGGAGCCACCTTCTCAGTGATGAAACCAAACAGGTTTTTATCACAACAGCAAATACTGCTGGGCTGTCTCAGGAAAGTCATTTCTGGTTTGAAGCAAACGGCAGCTGCACTCTCAGCATGGTTCTTTAAAGGAGAAAGAACACTGCTCACAGTAAGTGTAAACACAAGAGATTGCTCCTACCCTTATTTTGACGTCCTTCGGAGCTAGTTTCTTCACTTCACTCAACAGCCTGTCACCAAAGCCTGTGCAAGACAAAGTGTGCAATGTGAGCCCGTTGGCCAAATCCTAAGTTCTGTCTGCTAACAACGCGGACATGTCCTGTGCAGTCCTACTCAAATACTCCACTCCAGATCTCACAGAGAGACCAGTTTGGAAAAGCACAGAACACAGCCAGTGAGGTAACAGGATTTTGTCTCACTCAGACCCATTTCAAACACCACGCAGGGGCCTCTATCCCTCAGTAGCAACTCGTGACGAACAAACAGGATTTTTAGCCAGGACCTCCTAGTTCCCTGTGCATTCCTCCTGTGTTCAGCCCATGTGTGCAGGGGAGCAGGGTTTGAATGGGAAGACCAGGAGCTATCTGGAGATGTCCATCTGCGAGTAACAGGCTGACAGTTTCTGGCAGGGGACATCTTTAAGTCAATGGGGACTACCTAAGCATGAAGGGAAAGGGTAGAAAGCTTTCTGCACACATGTAGCTGACACACATGTATGTCTGCAGTTCAATACCAGGACCGTTGAACTCTAGCGCATGCCAAAGACCTAAGGGAACCTCAGGAGATTCAAGAGCCTTTTAGATACCTGATCTCAAATATCCTAAACTATAGGAGCAGGAAAGAACATACCTATTCAGTCCTGACTCACACAGAGTGATAGGAGGAAAACAGTAAAAGCCCTGCAAGTCCAGGAGGTGACATACAAAGGCAGTAGTGTCCTGCATACCCATAAGGGTATGATTAGGGCTCAGGAAATTAGATAGTAACCCCCTGAGAAAGGAGAGTTCCCACAGCCCTCACTCCACAGGGCAAGTTGGGTGATCTAGGTTCTCTCTGCAGTTTCACATGAGAAGGAAACAAGAGATCAGTTATGTCACAGCCCACTGAAAGAGAAGAGACAGGAACCTTTGAAGAGCGTGGAGCCTCCAGACAGCACGATGTTGGAGAACAGCGTTCGCCTCAGGTCCATGTCTGATTTCTGAATGGCAAAAACAAGCACCTCATGGAGCCCTTCACATTCCTCCCCTATCAGGTCTGGCCGGAACAGGAGTTCTGGGGCCCGAAAACGGGCAGCGCCGATCTGCAAACAGAGAAGTTGGCACAGAGAGAAGAGAGAGCAGTGAGGCTCTGTGCATCATCTACAATTTGGCCCTGCCTTTCTTAGGTGAAACTTGAGAGCAATGAAGTATCCTGGGCATTAATGCTGCATCACTAGTTCCCAAGTGAACACCAATTTGGTCTACTTCTAGAAAGGGCACTATTTCCATTTTGCAAATGAGGAAGAAACTTGCTCAGCCCCATAGAGCAGGTCACTGGCAGAAAAGGGAGCAGATCCACCCCTGGTGCTGAAGGTAAGACCTGTATTTCCTCTCCTTCAACCATTCTATAGTGCACTTAGTCTTTTAAGGAGTATTTCTAACTCACTCTTCAAAGCAATTGCTTGTTCTCCTCTAGGCAGCAAGAAAGACACATACAAAACCACTGCTGAATTCAGTGAGCTGATAACTAGTCACACCAAGTACCCAATCTGCATAAAGATTCGATAGACTAGAGCCTGCCCTCAGAGAGCTCAGAATCCCCATGGCCGCACTGCATCCTTACCCTGGACTTTGTGAAGTTTCTAACAATGTTTTCTTCCCCCAGAAATTCTAATGCCCAGTCAACAGCCTGGGTTGAGTTCTGGTCTTTTAAAATTATCCCCTCCCACCCAACACCACATTAGATTTCCCATCACTAGGCAGAAAGCTATTCTGGAAACCCTGTGCTTCACATTAGGAAGCCTCTGAGGGTAATCCTTACAAACCTCAATAGTGCTTCCATCTGGCAGATAGTACTGAGCCTTCTCAGTCTCCAGAGTCTCATCCTTCTGGGGGTTTATTGACAGGTAGCAGGCACGCTGGAGAGGAAACAGAGTCACGGAGAATGAGATGAGAAGGGTAAACCCAAGTGTCTCTGATTGATAAAATACTTTTCACACTAATAATCAAAATCTGAATATCCCTTTGGGGAAACTAATGTCAATAGCATTTTGGGCTGGAGAAAGACCTATTGGGCTCTCATCAGGTAAAATACCTTGCAATATCCCACTTGTGATCCCTACCTGCCATTGATTTTACAGACCCTTGCCCTGAAGGGTAAACAAACGCTAGTGAAAGGTATCATGAGACCCTGCGAAACTGCAGCACAGAGTAATGCAAAACAGATTCTGAACCACCAGCCTGTCTCCATCTCAACAGCCTCTCAACAGTGATTAGTGCAACCTTGACTAGAAGTCTCCCAGAATACAGCATGGCTGAGGTTGCAAGGGACCTCTGGAGGTCATCTTGTCCGCCACCCCTTGTTCAAGCAGGGTCTCCCTCTGATAGGTAAAGGAATGAGGTGTGGAGCTAGGTAGGCCGGCACTTCCCAACAGATTTCCCCAAGTCATGACTCCCCTTGGGCAGAAGTCCCTTCTTGGATAAAGCCAGAAATAGACAGTGCATCACCTCCTTGATGGTCTTGACAATCTCAAACTCAGAGGTTGTGTGGAAGTCATAGCCCTCCTTCCGCAGATAGAGACGCAGGAAGCGGGAGACATCACGGCCAGCGATGTCAATCCGCATGATGGAGTGAGGCATGGCAAAGCCTTCATAGATGGGAACCGCATGGGTAACACCATCCCCCGAGTCCAGCACCACTCCTGTAGTCCTCCCAGTGGCGTAGCTAGCAAAGGGACAAACAAACAAGTCAGAACAAGCAATTCAAAGTGACCCCAAGCATGCAGCACATCCAGGCTCAACTCAGCAAGCAGAGATTTCACACAAACAGGGGCTAACCCCCCCAAGAAATAGTTCTCATCGTAGTTCAGCAAATTCCTGTAAAGTCTTTATTACAGAAACTAAAACTGATATTCAGTTCTTGCTTGACAAGGGGATAAGTCAGAGATCAGTGCGGTCTTCCACAGGCAGAGTTTTTTGGTTTGGGAAAAGTGGATTTCATGGCAACATTTCACAAGCACAGATCAAAGACAAGAGACACTTACAGGCTAAGCACAGCTTGCATGGAGATGAATAGTGCTGGCACATTGAAGGTCTCAAAGAACACCTCTGCAGCACGCTCTCTGTTCTTGCGTGGGTTTAGGGGTGCTTCTGTCAGCAGCACAGGATGCTGGTAAAGAAAAGAAGAAGCTGTGCTGTAGTAACCAGGAGGCAGCTAGACACGTGTTCCTGAACATTTCTGCTTATTTGTTCACTTGTGCAAGAAGACAGGTAGACAGGAATACTTTCAGCTAGTGAGCTGTATTAGCCTGTGAATAATCTCTATTAAGATGGAAGACCAGCAGGGTTCTGGTCTGGATATGAAGTGTTAAGAAATCTACTCTGTGAGCAACCCTGCCCCATGAAGGATGAACAAGATGACTCTTAGTGCCAGAAGTCAGCCACGTTAGCCAAAATACACACACTCTTCTAAGGGTGAAGGCATACGGTCTTACTGCGTGCAGGCAGAAATATTCCTGCTCCACTTATACAACCTATCACACTCAGCCATTTAATAATTTTTTGGTCAGCTCTTTCCAGACCACAGGATTGTGGTTTTCTCCTTCCTCACTTCAGATCATGTCACAGCTGAGTGGATATGCCTGATGCGCAGGCAGAACAGGAAAAGTTAGAAGCACTTGGCCTAGAGCGGAGTCATAAGAGAAAGTGTGAATAACAAATGCTGAAAGTCAGATTTTCCATCATCCCAGAACATTAGATCTGGGGAGGAATTCTGCTTGGACGCTTCTTGTGCAGGATCTCCCGAGAGGTAAAAGAGAGCAGTTTAACAGACATATTTAGAAAGTTAGAAGGAAGAGTAAAGGAAAAGTCCCATTTCTTTCCTGGAGTTCCATGAGTCCTGGTGTTACACACACACTGAATGACACCTGTGCCATTCACAATGAGGTATCTTACCTCCTCCGAGAATGTCTGAAGCTGGTCTTTTGAATACACATACTGCCAAATGCGCTCCATGTCGTTCCAGTCCTTCACTATGCCATGCTCCATAGGGTATCGGATCGAGAGGAGACCTCTGTGCTCCTGGGCAAACACAAGAGAGGTTGTTTGAGTCTGACAGGTATGCACATTTCTGATCACTGTGACTATGATTTAATGTCAGACTCACTTTTTATTCTACTAAAAGTCAACTTATCTCTAGCATATAGGGCAAAACCCAAACATTGATAACAAACATCTCTCCCAAAGAAGTATTCTTAAGATTGAACAAGGCCTTTTTATACCAAGTAGGAAAGTCTGGCATGTGTAGAGCACATTCCATTCTAACACTTTCAAGCTAACATAAAGACACCTGTCAAATGGTATTTTTGTCCTACGAGCTCAGTTATGATATAAAACATAACAGGGTGGGATTGGGGAATGCATTTTGGAGGTCTCACAAGAAATGTGAGATCATGACTAGATGCTGACAAAGCAGGTCTATGGAAAGCAAGCTTCTTGCCCACGTCAGGGAAATAAGAAACCAAGTAGGGTCCATTGCTAAAGTTCCCCATCAAAAAGATGGGGATGTAACTATACAGACCTAGAAGTAGCCTAGGAAAAAAGAAGAGATATAGAAGGACTTGGGAGAAAGGTCTGTGGACAGCAGGTTGGCACAAGAATTTCATGGAGCTTCCCACTCCACCTTGGACATGCTTAAAAGTGACAATCTATTTTGTTCTTCAGATCTACACACTGGTATCAAGGAACCACAGCCCCTCCTTACAGCAGCATAATGGGATGTATGGAGAAATGCAGTATATGTTTCTTACCTCTGCTTTTGGACCAATGAAAATGTCTCCTTCTAAAGCACCAGCCATAACACGAACGTGCTTTGGTCTGCCCACACTAGAACAGAGGCAAGAATATAAATGCTTCAAGAGAGAGAGCTCAGATGCACCCAGAGATTAACTACTTTGTGTTCCTCTGTCCTAACCAGTACTTTTAAAGCAATGGGTGAGTGTGGGGGCACTGCAGGGTGCAGACAGACCCAGGTTGCTCTGTGTTAATCTCAGAATCAGAGGTGAAGGGAACAGATTGTAGGCAGTTCTGAACCGGCAGGACACATTGCTGAGTCTGCCCACACCTTCCCTGGTGATTCAGGACTTCTTTATTCAGCAGTGTCTGGGGTGAGCATGGCTACACTGAGCAATGGTCTGAACTGACAGATCCACATGGAGCTGCCCAACCCCAGGTAGGCTTCTCAGACCAGATGTTCATAGTCCCACACCTCACCTCATCATACAGAGCACAAATATACTCATTAAAAACCTACCCCATTGAAATAAAAGCCAGTGACTATTCAGTGTTCCTGATCTGACAGTCCTTCTAGAAAAACTCTCAGAAAACTTCCAAGGAAGTATGGCAGGAATCAAGACATCAGACCACACACCAGAGGTCTTCACACCTCTCGTCTCAACTTTATGTTTTTGACAGTTCTTTTCCTCACATCTCATGTGTAAAAAAGATCCTACAGCTCTGGCTGGGTGTTGAGCCTGACAAAGTGATAAGTCACCTTTTATGGTGTGTTCCCCCCTGGAAAGATCTCAAAGTGCTTAGTAGCAGGGATGATCTCTCCCTGATGCTTCTGTGCAGCAGGCAGAAATAGAATAATTCATTTCTCCAGTGACAAAACTGGACCATTCTCCCCCTCTACGTATCAAAGAATTGGTAAAAGGTACAAGGAATTAACAAGACCAGCAGAATACTTACTAGTTCGGAAAGCAGTATTTCGGTATTTGGTCGCCTGCAAAACCTGCTTTAATCACACCCGAACCCTGCGGGAGCAACAGATAAACACACAAGTTTATCATTCATTCAGTCATCTTCACAAGTTTTAAAGGAGCAGCAAAGTACATCAGCACCGCCAGATCTTCCCCTTTTTACTAGGAATAAAGCTCCCCATGGACTGATTCTCCAAGCAGGGCTGGGCATGGGAAGGTGGCAACAGGGCCACAAGAGGGGAGTAAGTGGCACTTTCCCTGGCAGTGACACATCACACATGGGCAAACCCAGGGGAGCATCCTGGTCCTGCTCCACATGCACACCGAAATGCTGCTCTGTACAAAGTGTTCTTCTATCCAGTGCTATTGCTAGGGAGGCAGGAGGCTAAACCCAAGCTCTCCAGTTTTCTATTGATCTTAAATACTCTCTGAGTGGAGGACAGCACTCCAGAAAGCTAAGCAATAGCAACTGAACCCTGCTAAAAGAGGGAAGATGATGGTTGTAGGCCTCTCAGAAGAAGCAGATAAGAAAGGAGGGAGAGAGGGTGGATAAAGTCAGAGGAGGGGTGGGAAAGGACTGTGTGAAACAGGTTGGAGACTATAGAAAAGAAGATCAGGTGGTGATAAACTAGCTAACACTAAGGAGCCAGGTCACAGAAATGTAGTCAGAAAAGACACTAAAAACAAACCCAAACTGGGATCTAGGAAGAACAAAGGTGCCAGTCAGGCTGCAAGAGGAAAGGCTGGAGGCAGGAAGAGCAGCTGACAGGATAGGCTTATTTAGAAGGGACAAGGAAGAAGAGATTGAGTATGGCAGTCAGAACGGCACAGATCCAGAAAGCCTTCTGTGACACTGAAAGCAGCAAACAGAATGGGTAAAACCAGCCACGGGGAGGCCCTGGCAGGGAGTCAGTGCCAGGCATCTGGACCCGCAGCTCCCATCCCGTCAGTATCATCCAGAAGCACCCCGGGAATCATCAATTTGGATCTGTGCTGACTCCTTCCCCTCCTCCATTTCCTCTCCCTGCAGAAGGAATGACATCTTGAAACAATGAGCAGCTTGCAGGAACTCCCAAGATTGCCAAGGAGTGGATTTTCATAGCATCTCCTTGGAAAAACCATATTGGTAATCCCAGACTACTATGGCAGGAAACTCTGCAGAAAGAGGAGCAGTTCCACTTTATCCCATACTGGGAGCAAAGCATATGAGTATGCATTGAAACCAATGACCTGTGAAGTCACTCTCAAGGGCTCTACAGCAGAACTGCTGTGGTTTTGAGGCCAAAATGACATTTTGGCTGCCCCAGAGCATTTTAAAATGAGTAACAATGCAGCTTCTCCACCGCTTTCCTCTTCCCACCACCTCTGCATAGGTCAGCATCACAGCTTTCTCTTGGAGGCTGAGGCTAAATGAGTTGCTCGGGCTGCCAGAGGTTACCAGCCAGAGCAGGCTCAGCAGAAAGGAATGCAGGGCAGCCCCAGCCTCTACAGTTCACAGTGCAGTGCCTTATTCCCAAGCTATTTTATCAGCAATTTCAATCAAGGCGCCAGGCTTTGCACAGAGAATTTGTGCTCTGCCACCAGTGCTGGGGCACTCCTGCCAGTATCAAATTTGCCAGGATGCATCCATAAGAGACGAGATCAGGAACACCCTGCAAACCAAACCTAGCTAGTTATAAAACATATAAAAGGTAGATGGCTTGAATCCTTGTCTCCTGACCAGTGCCTGCAGCCAGGCTGGCTCAAGGAGCACACCCAAGCTGGCATCTCGGCAAGAGGGAGTCACTCCAGTTTCATTCCAAAGTCTGCACTAACAGGTACCAGTGTGACAAAGTGGCCTCTGAAGTGTTAAAAAGACTTCCCTCTAGATAGACTCTCTTCTGGCTGCTCACTTCAAAGCAATGCAAAGAATAAAACAAACCCACTATTTTTGTTTCCCTTATAAACAACTCTATACCTGGGAAATAATACCATCCTTTGTCAAGTCTTGTAGCAAAAAAGTTGAATTGAAAGCAGTACCATAACCACATCAGACTATTGTGCTTATTGACTGTTTTTATTCAAGGTAATGCCTGCTCCTGCTGCCAGCACAGTCTGCTGCTAGGAAGTGGTTTCAGGGGAACAGTGATGCTCCTGTTTTAATGCAGACTGAAACTTCCTTATGCCAGGCTGAAAATCACCCAGTGTCCTGGTGAGATTCCCAGCAAGTTCTGCATTCGAAGGTTTACATATCAAGGTTCAAAGTTAACCAAATATGTGGGTAGTTCAGAATCCCTAGCTGGAGTCAAGGAAGAATGACTGTTTTGAATGTGCTGTAGGATGGGACTTCAACGGAGCTGTGCCTGGGAACACACCAAGCACAGCTGTTTGCTATCTCCGCACGACAAAGACCTGACAGCATTTTCTGACCTATTCAATTTTTCTTGAAAACATTTTGTTTCTTTGAAGCTATGTTTGCACTGAGGAAATCTGTTCGTTATAGACCACTGAGATTCCTGTACAATGAAAGGAAAAGGTTTAGATTTCCAAATAACCCTGTCTGATTCAGAAGGTTTAAAGTAAAAACCTTGGGGTTTAATTCTTTGTTTCAAATAAGCAAAAAAACCTCAGCCCCATGCATCCTCCCTTCTGCTACAAGCTCTGATTAATTAAAACCTTTCAAAAAACTTAAAAATTAACATCCTTCCACCAGCACCTATCCTGGCTGGGCTTTCATCCCATTCTGTTTTGTTTTAATATGAACAAAAGAATAAAAGAAAGAAGAACTACATGTCAAATGTAAAGGTCAAGGAAGATAATCTCATGAAAAAGTCTCCCGAGTACCTTGAAGTAACTGCACATGCCTCTTCTGTTAGCTCTGTGGCTAGTCACTTATTGACTCATTCATCTTGGTGTGTTTAGGACTCAAATATAAATGGAAACCACCAAGAGTCAATCTGCTTTGTAGTACTTGTTATGGAGAGTGTATGTTTCATATTGTTGTAAAGCTATTTTATTAGATATACATTTTATAAGAGCAAGAACAAACCAAAGACACAACGGCCCTTACTGACAGTTCAGCTGTTTAAAATGCCACCACACAGACGACAAAGCCATATTTTATCCTCTTTAATGTAAACAGAGGCAATTCCATGGAGGTCAAGGAATTTGGATTTGCTTAGGTCACAGCTGAACCATGCTGTCTCTTTACATGTGCATTATGTTCATCAGGGCTCCCAGACCATTTATTTCAGAGAATGCTTGATGCAGTGCAAGATGGGAACACAACTCTTAAAAATTACTTATTAGACAATGAAGAGTATTAAGGTTGTGCTGAGGTACAGCTCCAGCCTCCCACTGTATATTACGGAACTCTCCCTGCTGAAAAATTGCAGCTGAGCATATTGTTTGGTAAGAGGAAAAACCCTTCTTGTTGAGTTTTTAGCTTTATACTTTAACATCCTTTTGGAACACACTGAGATACCAGAGCAGGGCTCAGACTGGGGGGTTCTGGCTCATCCACCAGCTCAGTATCTCACTTCCCCCTTCCTACCCTCCCATACGTGTGACAGGAAAACATTCAGCCCTGCTGAAAACCTGCAGCTCTCTGAGGAAAAGCAGTAATGAGGTAGCAGCAGGAACAGCGGTACCTGCTCTGTGCAGCTCCACTTCCCATCCTGCCTGAACTCAGGAAAGGACCAAAAATGCAGCGTCACCACAAGGCTCCTCACTGACAGCCTGCCAGCGCTCAAGGCAGATGTCACAACAACTGCTTCATTCTGCTTCTTGTACAGGGAGGAGAAGGGGGAAACTCATTTATCAAACAAGCAAGAAGAATTAGCTTTTCTAAGACAAACTGATAAAATGGAGAAGAAACAGAGTCAGTTGCTGGCAAAAGAGCCCTTCTCCAGGTCTGAAGCAGGGGTGCAATCGCTGTGCTAAACAAAAGAAGGACATGCTGAAAATGGATATAGGCTGCTATTGTATGACTATAGCACAACAAACTCATCCTCACAGTACCAGGGTGCCTGGAAATAACTTTAATGGTTAGCTAATCACTCAACATTGCAGCAGGGCCAGAGCTACTCCAGTCATCTCTAAGAACAATCAACTTATTCTTTAATGTCTCCAATAAAGAAGATAACATGTTTTTCTCCATGTGGTAAACTCTACTGCTTAATCTCCTTTTCCATTACATATTTTCTTTCGATGTCTAACTAAATCTCTCTATTGTGGTTCCAGGGGAAAAACCAAAACCGTGTCAGAGAAGCCAAAGATGTAGAAAGAAAACTGGGATCAGTAATAAAGAAGGGGTCAGAAAAATAACTGGCTTGATCTGAGAGGACCTACAATCATTCAGCCTATGGGGAAAAAGGGCAATAGACTGAGAAGTGCTAAGCTAGCGAGTCCACATCATATGGCAAAAAGATTCAGCAGAAATTAAGATTACAGAGAAAGAAGGGAGCACAGCACTGACCCTTGGAGACAACAAAATCTGATTCACTGGCAGCAGAATCACGAGGGAGGAGCATGAATTTGTGACTCACTATATGGAGGGAGGCTCCAACATATGCCCTCCCACCCCTTCCTGGATGGTCCTTTCTCTTGAGAGCCCAGCATGGATGTGGCTACTCAGAGCTGGACCCAGAAGCACCTCACCAAGG